TCTTCCTGCTTCAATCATCTTTTATTGCTAAAATATAATTTATTCAGGTAGCAGAAAACCTGACAAGAATCATTTCAGTATTTCAAAGAGACCTCGCTTTAAATGAGGGTGGTAAGTTCCTCTAAAAATTTCCAAAATAATGCATTTTCCAGACTTAGTATTAAAATCAGCTGAAATCTGTGTAGCTCTTGCTTCCTTGATCTTTCCCACTTGTGTGAGGTTTGGCACAGGACAGCCTTTGCTGTATGGTATGGGGCCTTACCTTTCCTCTCATAAAGGTTGCTTGACCTCCCGAATTCTTTTCTGCAGGTAAACAGTTCCATAAACTTTTGGGAATGAACATTTTGGCCAAGTTGAACACACACACACACACACACACACACACACACACAAAGAGTTAACACTATGAAATTCTTTGATAAGTTTAAGAGATGAATTTGAACTAGAAGCATTTTCTTTTTTATCTTGTTCTTGCTGCTTAGCATATTATTTTTAAGAAAAAGGTCTTCAAATCCCCATCATCTATATCAAAGTCCATCTCTAGCCTGTGAAAGTTACACAGTGTTTTTTTTTTCCTTAATCTACTTCACACTGAAGAAACATATTATGGGCTGTGTACACTGACTGCTGAAATGGGTATTTAATCAATGCACCCTCCATCCTATTATTTATTTCTTTGGAATATTTGCAAATTTTCTTCTCTTGACTGTTAAGAGAACAGTCCGTTTCCCTGTAGTTCGCAATGACTAGCAGTCTAAAATCCGCAGGGACTCCATTACCTTTTTTTAACCACTAAGGTTTGTCTCATACTAAATTTGTATTGATACATGAATTGGATATTTGTGGTCTGAATTTTTCAAGTTTAATAATAAAACAAATTCGACTGAAAATTAGGAGCATTGTTATTTAACTTCTTTTTCCTAAAGGTATTTTTTTCACTGCAGTAAGTTTTTATTTGGTACAGGAGACTGATGTTTATCTGAATTAGGGAAGTTTTAAACAGAATCATCTGTAAACACATTGATGTTCTAAATATGTTTTGTTATCATCTCTATTATCCCTTGCTATTTCTGTTAAATTCTTTTTAATTAGATAATGGTAGCATGCACTTTTAATTCATATTTGTAAATCTTGTTAATGCTGTACAGGAAACAGAAGACAGACTTATGAGAAAGAAATATATGTTTTACTCTAAATAGTTTTGTTATCTACTCTAGATTAATTCAAAACTGGTTTTACAGTATATGAAGGCACTTCCTATTGTTCTCACTAGCAGTTTAATTTTAAAAAACACATAAAAAACGAGAGTAGAAGTATTTCAAATAGCAAACAGAACAAAAGAAGCACATCTACACAATGTGAAGAAATATTTGCATATGTAGCATGATACTGAAGTTAAGAATTTTACAAATGAAGGGCTTTGTCTTAATAATCTTTAATTCTGTGTATCTATTACACATACCCCTTCATGGATCACTGCCTTGTCATGATGAAGGGGCTTGCGTAGCTCAATGAAGCTATGAGCTATGCCGTGCAGGGCCACCCAAGACGGACAGGTCATAGCAGACAGCTCTGACCAAACGCAATCCACTGGAGAAGGAAATGGCAGCCCACTCCAGTATCTTTGCCATGAAAACCCCATGGAGAGTACCAAAAGGCAAAAAGGTATGACGCTCGAAGATGAGCCCCTCAGGTAGGAAGGTGTCCAGTATGCTACTGGGGAAGAGCAGAGGGCTAGTACTAATAGTGCCAGAAAGAATGAAGCAACTGGGTCAAAGCTGAAAGGACACTCAGCTGTGAATGTATCTGGTGGTGAAAGAAAAGTCCAATGCTGTAAAGGTCTATTCTCCATAGGAACCTGGAATGTAAGATCCATGAATCAAGGCAAGCTGGACGTGGTCAAACAAGAGATGACAAGACTGAACATCAACATCTTAGGAATCAGAGAATTAAAATGGACAGTAATGGGTGAATTTAATTCAGATGACCATCAGGTATACTATTGCGGACAAGAATCCCTCAGAAGAAATGGAGTAGTCTTCATAGTCAATAAAAGAGTAGGAAAAGCAGTACTGAGATACAATCCCCAAAATGACAGAATGATCTCAGTTCGAATCCAAGGCAAACCATTCAACATCACAGTAGTCCAAGTCTATGCCCCAACCACTGGTGCTGAAGAGGATGAAGTTGACCGGTTCCATGAAGCCCTACAACACCTTATAGAAATAAAACCAAAAAATGATGTCCTTATCATCATGGGGGATTGGAATGCTAAAGTAGGAAGCCAAACAATAACTGGAATAACAGACAAGTTTGGCCTTGGAGTACAAAATGGAGTAGGGCACAGGATGATAGAATTTTGTCAAGAGAATAAGATGGTAATAGCAAAAACTCTTTTCCAACAATCCAAAAGATGACTCTACACATGGGCATCACCAGACCGTCAACACAAAAATCAGATTGATTATGTGCTCTGCAGCCAAAGATGGAGAAGCTCTATACAGTCAGTAAAAACAAGACCATGAGCTGACTGTGGCTCAGATCATGAGCTTCTCATTACAAAATTTAGGCTTAAATTGAAAAAAATAGGGGAAAGCACTAGGCCACTCAGGTATGAACTAAATCATATCCCTGATGAATATACGGTAGAGGTGACAAATAGATTTAAGGAATTAGATCTGATAGACAGAGTGCCTGAAGAACTATGGACAGAAGTCTGCAACATTGTACAAGAGGTAGCAAGTAAAACCACCCCAAAGAAAAAGAAATGCAAGAAAGCAAAATGGCTGTCTGAGGAATCTTTAGAAATAGCTCAGGAAAAAGGGGAAGCGAAAGGGAGAGAGAGGGAGGAAGAAAAAGAAAGATACACCCAATTGAATGCAGAATTCCAGAGAATAGCTAGAAGAGATAAGAATTCCTTCTTAAATGAACAGTGCAAGAAATTTTCTTCAAGAAAATTGGAGATATGAAGGGAATATTTCATGCAAAGATGGGCATGATAAAGGACCAAAATAGCATCCGGCCCTCTCAATTCCTGGCAAATAGAGGGGGGAGTAATGGAGGTAGTGACAGATTTTATTTTCCTGGGCTCCAAGATTACTGCAGATGGGGACTACAGCCAAGAAATTAAAAGACACTTGCTCCTGGGGAGGAAAGCTATGGCAAATCTAGACAGCATACTAAAAAGTAGAGATATCACCCTGCAAACAAAAGTGCGTATAGTCAAGGCTATGGTTTTCCCAGTTGCAATGTATGGCTCTGAAAGTTGGACCATAAGGAAGGCTGAGCACCAAAGAATTGAGGCCTTTGAACTATGGTGCTGGAGAAGACTCCTGCAAGTCCCTTGGACTGCAAGGTGATCAAAGCAGTCAATCCTAGAGGAGATCAATCCTGACTGTTCTTTAGAAGGCCAGATCCTGAAGATGAAAGTCAAATACTTTGGCTACCTAATGAGAAGGAAGGACTCACTGGAGAAGAGCCTAATGCTGAGAACGATTGAAGGCAAAAGAAGAAAGGGACAACTGAGAATGAGGTGGCTGGTTGGAGTCACTGAAGTGTTGTGGTCTGCGGGCGGCCTGTGGATCTGGCAGCAGAGTCGGACAGTGAGGAGGTTGGGGAGGAACATGGGCCAGTCCTGGAGTCGGGGGAAGGCTCGGACGAGGGCTCTGCATCAGAGGCAGAGAGGGGGCCAGGACCACCTGGGAGTTATGTTCTGCGTCCAGAGCCTCATAGTCAGACATCAGCGAGGCAGAGGAACAAGGAGAGCCTGTTCCCAGTGTGTGCATGCACAGAGCTGCCAGAAGGCAAGAACAGTTAAAATAAAAGAGATGACTCAGGAGTAGGGTTTGGAGATGATTGGCCCCTCCCATAAGACATAAAGGAGGAGTAAAGGCACGTGAGCCTTTGCAGGAAGCAACCTTGTTCATGCTAGTTGGTTTAAATTCTGAAGTTCCGTTTTGACTCTGTACTCCGTGTGGCCTTGCAAAGCTAATTGCCAAGGGAGATAAACATGGGTGCATATCAGCCTTATCCCGAAGGACTGTGGCAGACTTCTGACAGACTCTTTACCAACTCTTTGTGACTCATTACGGGCTGTGAATGAACAATAATTCACAGCCGTTGAAATAAAAAGAGGGTTTGGGGGACTAATCATGTGCTTTTTACTGTTTTAGGAAGCCTAGGTCAGAACATAAAGCAGTCGGTGTGAGATTAAATGGACTCCAGGAGATGGTAGAGAACAGTAAGGCCTGGAGGAATGTTGTCCATGGGGTTGCGATGGGTCGGACACAACTTTGCGACTAACAACAACATTACACATAAGAACTGCTACTATGATAATCTCATAGAATGTTCTGCTTTGTGGTTACAGAGTAACAGTTATTATTTGTGCTATGTTGTTTCTGATTGCTGGAATATGTTTGATATTCTTGTGCTAATTACACAACATATGTCTAGATAAACAAAGTGTGAATTCTTTTTCAGATAAATACATTAAATGGAAGGTGAAGCTTTCTTAATATACAAATGTTTACTGTTGTAAGTTTTGTATCATTAAACAGGGCTTACAATTTCTACTAATTGTTTTACTTACCTGTTTATATAAGAATTAGCTTCTCATCTGTGTGTTTGTGTCTGTGTCTAAATTTGTTTATAAAAATATAATCCTTTATAAAAATTATAGAGTTAATATTTTGCCTAACAAAATTGGACATACAGTAGGTAAATAGTTAATAAAAATAACTAAAATGTAATCTCTTATCAAAATGAAAATATAGTGCATCCTATAACATTTTATTAAAAGTGGAAGTTATAGGATTTGAGTTTGAAAATGTTTTAAGTACATTTCTTTAATCTGTTACTTTTTTTCTTCAGTAATTCCTTCAAATTTTTAACGTTCATTGAATGATCTGATTAGTAGCTTAGTTCAAACTAATCTAAATGTTTGACAATTTACTGAAAAAATTAATAAAAGCTAATATTTTATATTTTTAAATTTTCAGGTAAATTAGGATTTACACAGGAAAATAACACTATAGATTCTGGAGAACTTGATATAGGTCGAAGAGCAACACAAGATGTTCCACCTGGGATCTTCTGGCGGTCACAAGTCTTTATTGATCAACCACAGTTTCTAAAATTCAATATCTCCCTTCAGAAAGATGCTTTGATTGGAGTATATGGCCGAAAAGGTTTACCACCTTCACATACGCAAGTAAGAGTTGTTTTTAATGAAAGTAATATTCATAACTTCACATCTTTAGAAATGGTTATTTGGGGTTTCAAAATTTTATAGTTTATTTTTTATTATTTCATATATTGTGCCAAAGTCATAATATTGGCCCTTCTGAATCATAATTTTACAGCATATACTTATGCTTCTAAAAAGATCAGAACACCCAAACGTGAGCTCTCACACACACAAATATATACTTCCCTGGTTCATAGAAAAATAACATACATTTTTTCAGAAATCTTAAGATAAATTATATGATAAGATATAACTGCCACATTTTAATGATACTTTAATATGAAATAAACTTGATTACGTTTATAATTGTTTTTTTAAATAAATATTTTAACAAAAAGCATTACTTATTTCTTAATAAAAATCAAAGGAACTTGAGATCAAATGTGCATTTTTATAAATAATATTTATATGTTATTCATTTCATCCTTCAAAAACCTTTATGATTGCATTTACTTTATTTTCATTTTCCTTTGCTATATTGCTGTAAGAAGTGATATTTTGCAGTTTTTGTGTATGTGTGTTTGTACCAATATTCTCAGATGTAGCTGAATGAGACTACCTCTTACATTTTGTGTCTGTGTCAGAACAATCTTAGTTGCACAGCTCTGTTTTCTCAGACATCACAAATAAGTCAGCCTGAAATAATTGATAGTGGCTGACCATTCAAAAATAGTCAATGGTAGTTTCGAGTTGGTATGACACATTCTTAGAATGTTGGTTTTACTGCAACAAGGCAGTCAATATGTTTATCTAAAGAAACTACAAAATAACAGATGACTTTGGTACTTTGAAACAAAAATGAATAAACTCTTAAGTCACTTGTCTAAAACTAACACGTATAAGGAGTTTGTAAAAATTATAATTTGCTGCAAATAGCAGCCAGTAGCACTAACTCTGCAACAAAGATTTCCAAATTTTATTTTAATAAGATAGTTCCAATGCTCATTGAATGCTTATAACTTAATACATGTTGTTATTTCCAGTGTTGCTGCCAAGATCTGGAAGAAAGTTATTATAATGAAATAAGGCAGATGAAAAACAGAAAGGAAAAATGTGTTAATATAGAATTTAGCAATGTATGCTGTTCACTGCTGCTTTTTGAATTTTTTAAAATAGCTATGTGACTACTGAGTCAACAGGATTGTTGTTTTTTTAGTACTCATTAATCAGGCTAGTGCTCCTTCACAATTACATATAAAGAGAAATAAAATAAACTATTATAAACAAATCCTGTAAATGATCTGCATCAGTCAGTCAGTCATTGAGTATTGAGACACAATGATTGTCATTACAAAGTTTCTCTTCTAAAGTCTGCTGCCTTGTTTTCACTTAAAAATCTGAACTATACAGATTATACAGGCAAAAAACAATGAGCAAAACCCAGAAATGACATTGACATAGTGAACTAAACTAACATTTGAACTAAACAATAGGAATCTTACTTTTGACAAACTGGGATATGAAGGGAGTAAGTAGACTGAGAAAGAATCCTTCTGTGCAGAAAACCTTAAGAAAAACTACTCAAAGAATAACTATTTTAAGCAAGGTAGTTGGCTTTAAAAGTTGCAATCCCTGAATAATGAGTTCTAGTGGTCAGTGGATTTATAATCCTTTTCCCTCTGATATCAGCAAAATGATAAATGATGGCTAATACCTTCCCTGATGCATTTAAGGCTTCTGCTTCAGTCATGACAAGCGCATAATAAACTGCAGCTTGCTGCCAGTTCTGAATAGGAAGCAAAATCTCAGGATGCTATTTGAGAGAGCAAGCAATCTCCCTTCATGGTCACCCATTGAGCTATCAGTAAACTGCCTGTAGCTCAGAGTTACTTGACACGTAACGCGTCTTTAAAGACAATTTATTTTCCATCACTCTGATGCTCATATAGAAAACTTCCGGTAAAATTACCCATCATGTTAATGGTATTTGAAACAAACATATATTAATGCTATTTAAAGGTAGATTCTAGTCTCCTTCAGATGTTTCTTTTTATTTATTTTTTTATTGTTTGTCTTTTTATTACTGTTGCTAGCCAGTCAGAGTTGTATACTACAAAATAGGTGGCCTTATAAATACCCAACGCAAAAATAAATACCCATACCATAAAAAGAATAAATTTTGCTATCTACCTTCACTTACCTGGTTAAAAGCAAGACCAAACTATACAATATTTGGAAGGGAAACATTTTTTCTAGCATACAGGTCTAAAATCATTTAAGATTTTACAGATTGAAATCAATTTCTTCTTAAAATCGCAGGGGCCAAATTTCAATGATATATCCTTCTTTTCCTTGAAACTTGATCAGACATGGAGACAAGAAATAAAATTACAATAATGCATATTGGTTTTAGAATAAGTAAGTGTACTGTTAATAAGCAAGGTGCAAGACATATCCTGAAAATGAAAGTACAATGCCTCTGAATTTGTTCTTTTAAATAAAACTTTATTCTTAATATTCCAATATTTGTTTTAATTTTCAATCACATCATTTAGATGAACATAGCCTACTCGTTATGTATAATATATAAATGTACTACATATATAAAATGTATAAATGTACCCAGTGCCAGTGAACTGTGCGCTTCTTGCCCATCCCTGATTTATATGGATGCATTATATTATTACACTGCTGTAAAAAATATCCAGGCAAAGTAATGCAATTTCACATTCTTAAGCTTTGAAAGGCTTCACCTCTTTTTTCACAATTTGCAGAAATATATTAATAATTAACAAAGAAATTTGGTTTAATTTTGTGTAATAATTTTGGAAAAGTTGATTTTGCATAAACGTTTGATAACCAATTTGTTTCTTTAAAAAAAAAAAGGTGCTTCTGACAGCAGTGTAATATTTAAACCGAAATAACAACTTTCTTATTTATATTTTTTTCTTGTGAAAAAGAATATATAGTAACCATGTTTTTGGCAATGGATTGTTCAATCTATTAATCCACAGCACCCATGTATTCTCTATTTTTATATTCTTAGTTGTGTCCAAATATTAAGATTGTTGTTTATCTTTAGCAAAATACAAATCAATATGATACACTTCAGCTATAAATATATGCTTTTTTAAATATCTCCAGGTTATTTTAAAAGATGCTACTCAAGTTGTGTGTTACACATTTTGTTAGCAATTAAAGCAAAATCGATTCAAGCCAACAAGTCTTGTTTCAATATATTTTTTAAATGATATACTTATTACTGAGAACAATATAACTATAGGTTTGAAAATTAATTACATAATGCATGTGATTCATTTTTTCCCTCTTGCAGTATGATTTTGTAGAACTTTTGGATGGGAGCCGATTGATTGCAAAGGAGCAGCGTAACCTTCTTGAGACAGAGAGAGCAGGCAGACAGACAAGATCTGTTAGCCTTCATGAAGCAGGGTTCATTCAGTATTTGGATGCTGGGATCTGGCACCTGGCTTTTTACAATGATGGAAAAAATGCAGAGCAAGTGTCTTTTAATACGATTGTTATAGGTAAGTAGAGTAATCACAATATTCTTTAAGAATTAATATTTTGAATATCTCAAAACTTCTAAACTTCAAATTTTCTAACATAACCTTTCTAACTATACATAATTATTAAACAAGAAATGCAATTCCATGTTAATTACAGACACAAGATATGAAATGTAGTAAAAAATGTGACATATAAAGCTTGTAAAATTTTATTCAAATGTGTTAGATTTTTATTTAAATATTTTTATTTATTCTCTTGAAGGCACACATACATTAGGTATATGATTTCTAAGGGTATGTTAATTTACTAACATTTATAGGTTATATAAAGAGGGATTTTTTGCTGCTTTATTTCAGTGCACTGATTGCTGCCTGTTAGAATTTTCTTCTTTTGGTAATTTCAGAGTCTGTGGTTGAATGCCCTCGAAATTGCCATGGAAACGGAGAATGTGTTTCAGGATCATGCCATTGTTTTGCTGGCTTTCTTGGCCCCGATTGTTCAAGAGGTATATAAACTGAATTCTTTCTTAAATAAGTTCAAATAAGAAGCAGAAAAAACAAGTAGTTACTAAGAAGCAAGAAAAAAAGATATTGAAGTACAACTTGTCAAGATGTACCTCTGCGTCTAAAGCTTGATTGAAAAGAATTATGTTAAGTTTTCTGTCATGTTTTATTTCACAGCAGCCTGCCCAGTATTGTGTAGTGGCAATGGGCAGTACTCCAAAGGACGTTGTTTATGCTATAGTGGTTGGAAGGGTACAGAGTGTGATGTGCCTACCACCCAGTGCATTGACCCTCAATGTGGAGGTCGTGGGATTTGTATTATGGGCTCTTGTGCCTGCAACTCTGGTTACAAAGGAGAAAACTGTGAAGAAGGTAAATAAGCAAATATTGATTTAGGATTGAACTATTATGCTAAACACTATATTCCACTACAGCGTATATTTGATCTAAACATAAGATAACATTAAGTAGATACCATGATGTTTTAATTTTAACAGAAACAAGTATTTCTGTGTGTTTCATTCATACATATAATCTTTCAAGCAGGTTAAATACAGAACTTAGAATATGTATTCTAGAATAGTAACTTTAATTGCTTTATTGATCTATAAATGTAAATTAATCTGTTTTAAGAGCACTGAAAGTAGAAAAAACTAAATTCTTGATAAAATACAGATTTTTTAAAAATATATTTTTTAATCTTGATTAACTGAACAACTGAAATGACTTAAGAGTATTAACACTACAGTTGTATAAACCTTGTGTTGTATCAAGTGAATAATTACAAAACTCTTTCTACTGGAGGGAAAAAAGTGTGGTCATTTTTGCTGAATTTATTTAGACAGAGAAAGCACAACTTTCCACTCTCAAATAAAATTGATTTTATTGATCAGCACACACAAAGTAATACAATTAAGTCTCTGGAATTAAATTTTCAGACCATTGACCCTACAAGTGTAACGTTTTATTGAGTCAAATTGCTAAATTAAATCTCATCATCTAAAGCACATTAAAGGGAATTAAGAAAGATAGAGCTGTGCAACTCATTTATTTCCTAAATAGGCTGTGGGTCAACCTGTAGCCTGCCTGCTTTTTTGGATCGGACAAATATATTTCTGGGTTGGATTAATTTCTCTTGTCTTTTTGCATTTCTTCTCTTCTTCTTCTTCTTCTTCTTCTTCTTCTTCTTCTTCTTCTTCTTCTTCTTCTTCTTCTTCTTCTTCTTTTTTTTTTTTTTGCCTACACATAGCCAAATTCTCCCTAACATCAGCAAAGAAGTATTGTGATACTTGGAAAAGGAAAGCAACAATTTTGTCTTTCCTCCATTTCATGGAGAATATTAATTTACACAGCAGACAAAATAAATGTTTAATGGAACATTTGTTATAAACAGTATAAATTAAATAACTGCATTGTTCTATTAATATTGAAAGATGATTAAAGAATAAGAAATGAATAAGAGGGTATTAAAAATAGTATGCCATAACTGAGGTCTAAAAGTAAAAACTGGTGTGTCCAAAACTGAAATTTAATCTTGTTAGAAAACTGAAGAAAAGTATAAATGGAAGGTGTAACAAATATTAATTCAGCATTTGGGAAATGTAAAAAGTAATTAAGGTTTTCTGATTATATGATAGATTATGAGTCAAAACAGATTCCTGTTCAGAATCAATTGTTCAAACTATTTACTAAGACTGTATTAGTATTATTCTTCTCATCCTTCCTATTACCTATCTCCTCCCACTTATGACTATAACCATGTTGCTTGTATCTTTACGATTTATATTGTTTTATTTGTTTCCTAATATGATTTGATTGCTTATTAGTAACCTATGACTATTACTAAGTGCTGTATCTTATGATTCTTCATGAATGTATTTTTTCTTTTTTTTTTCTTTTTATGTACACTGAGAGCATATGCACCAAAGACAAATTCCTTGTGTGTCCAATCACACTTGGCCAATAAATAATTCTATTCTATTCCTATTCTAGAATCATACCATGTAACTAGGCCTTTTGGTTTATTTCCAAAGTGACACAGCATTAGCACTGAGCTGACAGTATTTTCTATTTTTATATATTATATTGTATTTAACTTGTCTATAACACTTATTCATATATTTCCTTTGGCTGGAGAATTACTCATTGGGACATGTCACAAGTTGTCTAGTTTTCAGCATAATAGCTTTAAAGTGCCCTTTTCTTTAAATTCAAAATCAATATTGCAGAAACAAGGTTCTTTCTTTTGATGGTATCAAGCTCTTCAGGGCAAATTCAGCAAAAAAAGAACCACTTGGATTTCCAGAAATATCTTTATTACTAGTATGGAATTATAACAGAACTTGAAAGCCTACCAAAATAGTTCTCTACCTCAACCTATACATAGCATAATTAAGACAGAGTAAATTAGTCCTTTCTCACATTTTCCCCTCTCAGGAATCCTTTTGGTAACTGTCAGGCTCCTTTTTCCTTGTTCCCAGAGACTATTAGATATTTTATGAGAGGTAAACATTGTCTTCTCTGCTGCACCATCCAAGAACTCAGAAAATTGCCCAGTATGGGCTCAGAGCATCCTAAAATATTTGTGCTGTCTATCCAAGCAGTGAAAAAGGAACTGAGTGTTACACACTGTGATTCACTCTAATATCTGCTTCAGAGCCTTGCCATATTCGTCGCTTCAGTTGCAGTTGCTTATTGCAGAATTCAGTACTATGCAGTCTTAAGGCTGATTTAGAGTTCCCCACAACTACCTACAGTCATCATCACATGCCTATGCTGCAAAAGGGTTGATGGGTAAGCAGATGTTTCAAGATGTTTGAGTGGGCAGGAGCAACAGCAGAGAAGACCCTCCTGGACCCTGCCAGCCAGAATAATCAGTCTGACAGGACCTGCAGCATGCCTCCTCTGCCAGCACAAATGGTATGTGCCAATGCCAGTGGGGTGAGATGGTCCCTCAAGTAACCTGGACCCATGCCATGAAGGACTTTAAAGATGATTACCAACACCTTGAACTGCACCTAGAATAGAATAGAATTCTTTATTGGCCAAGTGTGATTGGACACACAATGAATTTATCTTTGGTGCATATGCTCTCAGTGTACATAAAAAGACAAGATACATTCATCAAGAATAAGGTACAAAACTTAATGATGGTCATAGGGTACAAATAAGCAATCTGGAAACAATATCAATATAAATCGTAAGGATACAAGCAACAAAATTACAGACAAACAGTCATAAGTGGAAGGAGATGGGTGATAGGAACAATGAGAAGACTAATAGTACTAGTAATGCAGCCTTAGTGAATAGTTTGACAGTGTTGAGGGAATTATTTGTTTAGCAGAGTGATGGCGTTCAGGAAAAAACTGTTCTTGTGTGAAGCAGTTCACCTGGTAACCAATGCAACTCATGGAGCAGTGATGTTACAGGGGCCATTCTTGGGCCCACCAAAACTACCCGTGCTGCTGCACTCTATACCTGCTGAAGCTTCTGAATGTACTTCAAGGGTAGACCATGTAGAGCAAATTACAATAGTCCAATCATTTAGCAACTAGCCAAAGATACGACAGTGTAATCCCTCAGACACATGATCACAATTACAGACACGAAGCAGGTACACAATAGGAAATACATATCTAAAGCAGTATATTTAGTTTCAAACCAGTAAGCACAATCATGCTCAATTTGGTTTGGCACTGATTTTAGGTACTAAAATTTTAGTTGCTAAACAAGGACTACATGCACTGACCAATTTTTAATTCCAAAATAAATATGTTCTTTACTAATCTGACTTTGTATCACTCTATGCAGGGAGGGTTTTTCAAGCCTTTCTTTCTTTACATCCATTTTCTTTCTTAAATTTATTCCTCCTGAGCCTTTCCATCACCGAAGAATTATTCAACTGGAAGATGCTTTCTCTCTGTAGATGAGTTTTAGCACAAAAGACAAATAGAATCAGCTACTATGTAAATTGTACTTCACTCTTTAGGCACAGATTTTGCAGATATCAGGAAATTAAGCATATAATGGGGACATGAAAGAGAATTAGGGAAGACAAGTTTAATATGATACTAAGTTACCAACTGTTTCTGTTTTAGTTATTTAAAGATTTTATATATTGACCATCTTGCCTATGTATCTCTCTGTCCTGTTACCTATTCAATGACAGAGACACATCTGTCTTTTTCCAAGCCTCCTATTATTAGAACATATAGCTTTGCATTATGTTATCCTGATGTTATCTCTGAGGATGAGTTTGGGTTCCCTCTTTTCATTTTTCAGTACCTAATAAGATTCATGATTCATTTTTTTAGTCTATTCATGTCTAATATGAGGAATAGAGCCTGGCAAAAAATAGTGAAACTTATAGATGCCAAACTTTTTTTTCCCCAGCTGATTGTTTAGATCCAGTCTGTTCAAATCATGGTGTATGTATCCACGGAGAGTGTCATTGTAATCCGGGTTGGGGTGGTAACAACTGTGAAATACTGAAGACAATGTGTCCGGACCAGTGTTCTGGCCATGGCACGTATCTACAAGAAAGTGGCACTTGTAATTGTGATCCTAATTGGACTGGCCCTGATTGCTCTAATGGTAAGAATTTTGGAGAAATTATTTTGTGCTAATAATATTAAAAACTTCCAAAATTCTATAGTGCTGATTTGATTAATTTATAAATTCCACTAAAGCATACAATTTATGTAAATATTGGCAAGACTAAAAAGAAAGTTTTTATTTTCCATAAACACAATTTCTTGTATCAACAACTACAGTTAACTTATTTACAGTTAGCATTAGTTCTTAGTTTTAACTTGTAATATACTATCTGTAGTATCCCCATTTCAGATCCTCTGAAAATTGCTCGGAATACAGCTGCCAAAATAGTATTGTATCAATGGCCAAACGTTTAAAATATTTAGCTATTACAGTACTTCGTAAATATGCTAAATCATCAATAGCATCAATAGAATTGATGTTATACTGTACACTTAAATATTTTCTAATATGAACTAACTATCTTAACATAAGCTACTCTCCTTGTCAATGCCATCAACTAAAGTCAATGTACAGGAACTGAACATGAAGAAAATTTGCTAGGTTCCCTTTCATATGATAAAATTGGCAGAAATGCAAACAAAAACCTAATTCTGTGTATTTCAAAGACAATTTGAGCTATGTTCTGGCTTTCAGAAAATATATGGGAAGAGAGGAGATATGAATATATGTTTTGACAAATGCTTTGTTTCGGAAAGTTCTGTAAGAAAATAGTAAGCACAGAAGGCACCATATAATCTTGATCCAACTTTCCATGTATATGTTCATCAGTTCCACTCCACATGATCAGATCACCTTCATTCAGATCTATTATATCCTTTCCCTTTTTTCTTAGTGTCACAAATACATACTGTATCTATTTTCCTTTCATTGATAGTGACTTGTTAATTTATGCTCTTTAAAATTTTATACTCATGACATTCCAAGTCAAAATTTTCCATATCCCATAGTCATTATCAGATGGGTCAGTAAGTATTGATCTTTATTTATTTATTTATTTATTAAATTTTGCCACCTGTCATGACTTAGATTTATCAAGGATTTTGCATTGTTTTTTAGAAAGATAAAAAATGGTTTAGGTTACCAGTCTTAGTCATATCCATTTCACATGAAGCATTCCCTGTTAACAATAATTACACAATACATACTTGTTATAATGTATTTTTGCCTCAAATTTAATCAAAGCTCAGTTTAATCCCAGACATTCTTAATCTAAAAATTAACTTGGAAACCAGTATACATTTGCTCATATTTCATCAACTAGAAAATTAAACTACTTTTAAAATTAATTGAATGTTGCAAATAACTTTTCAAAAATATTAAGAATTATGTTATTTGAAATTATTTCCATCCAATCAAATGAAGATGTTTCAGTTTAGAAAAATTGTTAACATCCCAAAGGAGAAAAGTATAAGCTGTTTTGTTCCCTTTTCCTTGGTGGTTGTCCATTAATTAGCTCTCCAATTCCAGTTTTTCTAAATTAACCCTAATTAATAAGCTCATTACAAAGACTGGCACACCTTGCTTTAAAGCAGATCTGCTAAAAGCTGATAAACACCTTCTCTTTAATGAAAAATTGATTAGACTGAGGAGAAAAGGCAAGTCTTTGGAAAACGAGGGTATTCTAAAGTTAATCTATCCAAACATCTTATAACAAACAAACAAAAAAAAATCCAATTCATAACATAAAACATAATAGGAGGAAAGCTTTGCAGGTCAATATTCATTCTGACACATATACTGTCAACATACTTAATTGTATATTTGATGTTCTACAGTGCTTTGAAATAGATAAAGTAGTCAAGGTGAATGAATCTTTTTCAGACTTTTATGTTTTTACACCTCAATATCTATCACAAATAATTTCATTTTAGGATTGGTGTCCTGGTTTATAAACCGGAAATTGTTCCAGGAGACTTCAACTGTGTCTTTCAGTTATGTTAGATTGTATTTTTCATGAAAACAAAAGAAAAAGAAAAAACCAAGTATTTTTTTTATGTTTTACAGAGTATAATATAATTATGTACCCTTTATTGTTAAAGCAGTTAGTTGTATTTTTGTGTTTCATAATGAAATTTAAGTTAATCATCCCTGCATAGCCTTCTCTTCTGTCACTTAAGACATAAAACTGTTAGTGCTCAAAAGCAAATTTCCAAATAACAAACATTTTTCATACTCAGTATAAAGGTCATTAACATTGTACAACTAAGACTTCATTGTTCAAAATGGTTCTATTGATCAGTAATTGTAATAAGGCCTAAAATAAATGGAATTTCAGTATACAAAAATGGCAAGAAAAACCACAACTTATAACTATAATCAAGAAAAAGGTTGCTGTATGGATATACCTTTCATGCCAATCTCAAATATTCACCCCGCATAGAAAAAAATTTCTTGCCACAATGATACAGTACAGAATGTTAGCATTTTTTTAATGATAAAGAAGATAAATCTCTGAAACATTATTTTGCTACTTGTATATTGCCTATACAAAGCCTTCGTACTTAACATTTTTGAGATTATAAATACCACACATTTATTTAAAAAAATGCAACCACTGCTCTTTTTAAAAATAACATGAGTGTCAGAAACCCACCTCATTTTAAGAAAAACGTCTATGTGGAATTTACCACTGATAATGTTACTTAACTCTCAAAAGTGCCTGAATTAACTGAATTTAAGCAAAAGATATGTATGATTCTAAAATCTGATGAATTCACATTGTATAGTATTTAAAGTAAAATATTCATTGTAGTGTTTTAACTTCTAAGTTTTTTAAAAACATATCTTTGTATTACAATCCTGTTTTTCAGAACATGTAACACTGTTTACCGAAAATAATCTACAAAGACTCATAAATTTACACAAGTGTATAATTTCAGAGTACTCCTAAGCAATATGTAATTTTAAAAAAACTATTGCTGAGCACATTGTAAGCCGCCCTGAGTCTTCGGAGAAGGGCGGCATATAAATCAAAATAAAAAAAAAAAAAAAATGGTCACATATTGAAAGAACTCTAAGCTAAGTGAAAAAATCAGTAGAGAGATATTACTAGATCTGCTGAATAAATAATCAAGTATTAGGAAAGATATAACACCTGAATCATGTGAAATAAATTGCTTGATTTAATTTTCAAAGAGTTCATATAGCTGGATTTTGGAATTTAACTAATTACTGTGCTCTTTTTCCTTCTGCCTTTTTCCTTCTCTTTTCATCTACCACATTATTTATTCCTGTCTCAGAAATCTGCTCTGTTGACTGTGGTGCTCACGGTGTCTGCATGGGTGGAACATGTCGATGTGAAGAAGGTTGGGCTGGAGCATCTTGCAATCAAAGAGCATGCCATCCTCGGTGTGCTGAACATGGAACTTGTAAAGATGGGAAATGTGAATGCAACCAAGGCTGGAATGGCGAGCACTGCACAATTGGTATGTTAGCAGAGACTTCTTAGTACTGAACTTAAAAAGTATGAGTTTCTCTGAAATCGAATATTGTTTGTTGAAGCTTATTTCTTCAACATAATATTTTCACTTACATCTTTGTAAAGATTTTTTTTAATAAAAAAGAAAGCAAGTATATAATGTAAATAGCCTTTGTAAATATTTTGTCACAGAAAGGAAGGACAAGAATTTCATTTTACATTTACTAAATTTTCTGTTTAGATTCAGAAGATAATATTAGAGAAAATTTGCTTTTACTGCTTGGACTCTTAAATCTCTAGCTAAATGAGTTAATATTCACTGGCTTTTTCTAATTTTAGGCAATAATAGAATACCTAATGTTAATGTTATAAAACGAAAAGGAAAAGAAACAATACTATATAAAAGGAAATATGAAACTTGGCTGCAAAATAGCCTAGCAGTCTGATATTGTTTTTGTTATGTTTTGTTAGCTAGCATAATGAATTATGTAGGAATTTCATACAGCTTTCTATTTCAGTACCAAAAAATTGAAAATGTGCTGCCTTTCCCTACTTTCATTTATAGCTTTGTTTAGGAATAGATATGTGTTTTACATCCTGAAATAAAAGAAAGTTGCCTTTGATTAGTAACATAATATAAAAAGTACTCTTCCCTAGAATTCATTTAATATTCCTTTCTAAAAACTAGTCTGTGCCTAAATAAAACTTTCATCTCTGATCTGTCATTAACCATCATATTATAAAACATCAGTGAAAAAAATACCACAGCGATTCTTCACATTTTCTCCATATGTCTTTCTCTTATAAATCTATGTGACATAGATTATAATGTTCAGTTACAAATTAGACTTTTTTTCTGTAGTCCTCACTAACTTTAGTAGCACACTGCTGGTTTGTTTAATGGATTATCTGCTCTTGTACAATTTTTTCCAATGCCTTTGACAGAATACACTTTAAAAGTAGCCTTATAATTTTCATATGTATATTCCATGTGCGTGTAATTATTGTACTGCTGCTTTTGCAACACAACAACAAAAGTTTTGGATAATAAAATAATTATTATAATGTTGTAAATAGCACAGTAGCTTGGCTTGGGCTTCTGTTATTTGCATAAATTACCTAGTATGGCAATAGTATATGACTAGTGCGTCTCCATTTCTATAAGCCTATAATTCTCAAAATTATATCAAAATCAGCTAGTTAATTGTGGGTTATAAATTCTGCAAAATGTAGCGATATTCACACAAAATATATTATGTTTTGGATATTTCAGATACAATTTTATTTTTTAAAATACATGTTTTGTGATTTAATATCTTCAGTGCACCTGTGCTGCTGTGTATATATTGGTAGCAATCACATAAAATAAAGAATTTATAAAAAGTAAACACAGAATCAATTGGATACAAAATATATCCGCTAAAAAAAGGAACCATTTGGATAAGTATGGTAGTACACATAGAGAAAGATAAAATTGCACAGAATAAAATACTAGTAAGACAAAAAATAGTATCTGACTCTTAAAATTTTCACTAAATCTGCATAATCATTGGCATTGGCATCCTTCAGTCTCAAGAGACTATGGTATCATGCTCTGGAAAGAGGTCCTAAAACAGCATTAGTGTGACTAAAAAGGCCAATTCGAGAGTGGCAATCCCTCCCACTCTGAGGGCAGATACATTCTGTGCCCTGCCCAACCCCCAGATTTCGCTGGTTCCGGGACAGTCCCAGAACCAGCAAATCTGCATAAAGTAACCTGGGAATTGTTGTATTGTATTTTATTTCTGATAAAGGCTGGTAAAATTGATAATTATAACCTAAACAAAAACAAATGATATATTTCTGCAATATGCAATTAGAGACACTTCATAAACCAAATAATAGAGTGCACCAAATATAATGCATGCATCAGTGGAACTTGGGTGCACTGACTACAAGGTACTACAGTCATAGTGGCTGGCAAAGTATAAGACTGTAATTTCTGCCCAGACTTCAAATGCATCAGTTTATTTTAATACTGTTTAACAGCTAATTCCCAGCTGTTAGCATTTCATTTTCAATTTTTTAAACCGAATGGCTACCAAACATACTAGGAAGCTTAGTGCAGAATAGAGGCATGCTGACTGGCATTCCTGCATTTTTTTTCTGAACAAAGCATGTCTTTGTGATCAGTAATGATCTTGCTTCCCAATGCAATAAAGAACTGGAATGAAAACAAATAGCTGCTCTTTTGTAGTTTAAAGGAATTAGGATTTCCCTATGGCCAGATTACCATTTGAATTGCCTGCATATACATGAAAATCAGTGTAGCTCAATAAACAACTTGATGTTTAAAGCACTATTAGTGGAGAACACCTCAAAGGACTACCTTTCCTTAAATTGGAGACATGGGATTTGGGGGGCTTGGTAATATGTGGCATCCTGCATACAAACAGAGCATCTAATTGAAAATGAGGCAGAAAGGAAATTAAACATTAAACATTAAAAAGAAATAGAAGTTCTCACTTTGTACCGCAATTTGCAGTCTAGTAGTACAATATGTATTGTTGCATTGTGCATGGTTAAAGCTTTCACACAAATTAATACAATCATGGAGCAATCGTGCTTCTTTTCCAACATTGGGAACATGCTTACCCATTGTTCAATGAAACAATGCTGTTTATTTTTTCAAAAGGATAGCTATTCGTGTGGGAGATGAAGCAGGGTGAAGAAAAGAGGAACAGAATGGCACCATATTCTTATGTGCTAAGTTTGGTGCATCGGTTGAGACAGCAGCAGATCATAAGGCACTGGTGATGGTGACAATACAAGGACATTATTACTGTTGCAATTGTATTCATGAATCCTTTCTTTGAACTGTTGTGCCCTTTCAAGCTTACTTTCAAATACCTATTATGCAAAAGTCTAGGCCTGACCCACATATAAGATATAATTGAACAAATGGTGCATATTTGTTACCCATTGTTTCAGAGTATAAAAATCAACATGCATTTTAAAGAATTGTACTGTATTTAGTGAGGTGTTAAGAGACACATACAATAAACAATAAGGCTTTGGCAACAAAAGAGGACTTTCTAGTCATGAAACACAATTCATTTGTTTGTGATATTTACATGCTCAATGCATTGCCTTATTTTAGGGATGCTACATTTTTCAGATTCTGTAGGAATCCGCAATCTGCATATGTGCAGGGATTTTCCTGTCTTGGATGGCAAACCTCAGATAAGGAAGGTTACTTGCACGTAAGCACCAGGAAATTACATTAGAAGATAAGACCCTAATTCTGTAAACAAGAGGAACAGGGGGAGAGGAAGTGGGATGTGTGTTAGATTTTAATTATAGCCAAATATTAGAAATGCTTAAGCTAGCAGTAATGGTTAACCAAAGACTCTAGTTACCTGGAAGATTCTGTAGCCAATGAGATGCTGCCAAGTACACTGTAACTTGAAAGTAACAAACTATATAATGTCACTATGTAAGACAATAAAGTTCCCCACATACATCCTCAACCTTTGTGTGTATGTGGTCTCTACAAGATTCTAACATAATGAAGGCCTAAATAGATGATCTCCATATTTCTTCTACTAATTGTCCAGAAAAAAAGGTTTTTTCTGTATTTTACCTACATATGGAAACGATTAGCTATAGTTTTGAGCAAACTATACCCATTTTTATACATCAGTTTCACACCTCATTCAAGTTTAAGAATACATTAAGGAATCTACAATTGTGTAATAATAGTCTTCTTTATTTCTATTTCTATTATGATCGTATTTTTTCAATTCTGTTTTAGATTTGGAAATAGATATAATATAAACTTAATATCTGAAATTATTAAGTGAGAGAGCAGTGGAGTCCAGCCCACCGACTCTGAGGTCCATCTTGCTCCAATACCTTAGACTATTCATCAAACTCCTGACCAGACTTTCCACCTCTCATCTATGTATGGCTTATACCTCAGCAGACCTGCTTGCGCTGCGAGATGCCCCCCTCTCGCGGCGATGGCCTTCCATGTTATCAAAGGCCTACCTTAAGGAGGGGTTTTGGAGCCCTGAGAGGTGGCATGTTTCAAAGCGGGGATTAAGGGGTTTTTTAATTAGGGTTTTTAATAATTTTTTAAGGGGAACCGGGAGGACGACCAAAGGGGATGGGGGGGGTAATCCACCAAGGTCAGAGCCGAGCCCGGCACGGGGTAACGGTTTGGAGGACACTGGACGAGGGAATGGGGAGGGGGCGGAGGGCTATCCCAATGAGGGAAATACCATCAGCATGGTGGTTGGGAGGGGCAGATATGGCGGGAGCAGGGGGCCACATCATGTGTTGGGGACGCGCACTTGCTGTTTGAGAGCAATTGCGCGCCCCGGCCCTCAAAGCTCCCCTCGGATACTAGGTGGCTTGGATACTCAGGACCTGGGCCTGCGGCTGATGTTGTGCAATGCTAGGTCTGTGGTAAATAAGGCCCCCCTCATACACGATCTTATCCAGGAGGGGGGAGTGGACCTGGCTGGTATTACGGAGACCTGGTTGGGACCGGAGGGAGGAGTCCCTCTGGTCGAGATGTGCCCACCAGGTTTCAGAGCATTCCATCAGCCGAGAGCCCAGGGGAGGGGAGGGGGGGTGGCGGTTATTATTAAAGAAGGTCTTGGTCCGAGGGAGACCACTGTGCCTCAGACTGCCGGATGTGAGTCCCTCTTCGTGAGATGGGGTCATGGGGTTCAGATGGGCTTGCTGCTTGCGTACCTGGCTCCCTGCCGCGTGGCAGCAGCCCTGCCTGAGCTACTCGACGTGATAGCCACGGTGGCAGTTGATACACCCAGGCTTATGATCATGGGTGATTTCAACTTGCCATCCGTTGGTGAAACGTCTGGGATGGCTCGGGAGTTCATGGCTTCCATGACGGCCATGGACCTGACCCAGTTAGTTCATGGCCCCACTCACGGGGGGGGGACACACTCTAGACTTGATTTTTGTCTCTGGCCAGTGGTTGAGTGATCTTGTTATAGGGGA